GAGGAGGAGGAGGAGGAGGAGGAGGAGGAGGAGGAGGAATAGGAGGAATAGGGGGGGACTCGGAGCTCCGCGCCGAGTTCCTGGATCCGCGCCTGGCCCCCCCCACCTCCGGCGCCGCCCCTGGCGCGCTCCGCGCACGCCATGGGAGGGGTTTGGCACCGCTCGGACGCATTTTGTCCTTCGGCGAGGGCCATCGAGGAGCATCCTGGATGAGTTGGCGGAAAACAAAAAACAAAAAAAAAACACACACAAAAAAAAAACGCACGATATCGACAAAAAAACACAGGGCATGGACGTCCTGGCGATGGCCAGGGGGGGTCCCAGCGCGGAATCCGAGAAGTCCGCGTGGAGCGCCACGAGTTTCTTTCTGTGCTGTTTGCAGAGGTCGCCCAACTCTTCCAGAGGCCCCGACTCTCTCCCGAGGGGGTGGGGGGAGGAGGGGGTGACCCCGGGGGCCCACGAGGCGCCGCCCCCCCGTGAGCGCAAGCGATCGATCCACGAATCAACCCGTCAGCCAATCCACCAGTCGACCAATCGATCAATCGACCAGTCAACGACCAGTCGAAAACCCCAAACAACAATCGTGAAGCAACGAGACAGTCAACGAATCAACCAATCAACCGGGCAGAGATCGACCGATCAATCGATGAACGAATGCTGCACGACGAGGTCCAGCCACCCAAGATGAGAGTAGAGATCAACCGACCGATCACCATCGGATGCTCGACGGCGAGGTTTCTATCAGAAGGGGCCCCGCGCAAGCGCACGACCGCCGCCTGGACGACCCAGCGATCCACGAGTGCCTGACGACGAGGCTTCTGCCAGAACGGCCCCGCGCGAACGCCATCGGAGCGACGGCCAGAAGCGGGGGTCGGGCGTGCGCGGCCACCCGCGCGGGGAGCTTCCCGCGCGAGGCCGCGCGCGAGCGCCCTCCTCTCCTCCGCGCGGGGCGCGCCGCGCCGGCGGCCCGCGCCGGCCGCGGCGCGAGGTCGCCGTGGCACGGTGCGCGAGACCGGCTTCTTCTCGTTGCTCACTTGGGGTTTCTCATCATCATCATCATCATCATCATCATCATCATCATCATCATCATCATCATCATCATCAGCATCATCGCCATCATCATCATCATCAGCATCATCAGCATCATCATGAACATGATCATCATCATCATCACCATCATCAGCATCACCATCAGCAGCATCATCGTCGTCATCATCATCACCAACATCATCATCATCATCATTATCATCGTCGTCATCATCATCAGGTTTCATCTCGTCGCTCACCCAGGGCCTCTGAGCTCCACCCGGCGCCTGCCTCCAGAGCAGCGCCCGCTGGGCCGACGAGGGCCGCGAGCGGGGCGTGCGCGCCGCCGCTCGGCGAGGTGCCTGGGCCCCCTGCGGCGGGACTTCATGGTGACCTCCGTCGGCGCCCCTCCGCCGCCCCCGGGGGGGCCGTCGCCGTCGTCCGCGCCGCCCTGGGGCAGGGGCGGCAAGGAGGGGGGTGATGTCTGGAGGGGGGTGGATCTCATGGCGGGGGCCATAATATCTCCCCAGATTTCATGGCGCCTCGTTTTAGTTCATCACGTCCCTGGCCCCCCCGCTGGACCGCGCACATGCCGCCGGTCATGGTTTGCGCCCCCCCCCTCTTTGACGCCCGCCTCTTTGCCGCCCCCGAACCCTGGGGCGGGGACGACGGCGGCCACGCGCAAGCGTTCTGGAGGCAGGAAAGGGGTGTGGTATAAAGGGGGTGTGATGCTAATCTCACGCAAAGGGGAGCCTGGTGATGTGATGCACTGCAGATGGCATCGCCATTGCCACGATTGGCACCCTGCCCCTTGGTGCCACACAACTGCCCGACCTCCAGAAAGAGTGACCTGTCGCTGGAGTGACCTTTGGTGCTGGCCCGCAGGGGTGGCCTGCGGCAGCAACTCATGGGAGCCTTGTTCACCTTCGCAGATCTGTCTTTAGAGTTCGTCAGCGTCGATCAGCGTTGTGTAATCGATGTGATAGCACCAATTTAGCGTCGATCAGCGTCGATGTAGCGTCGAGCTAGCGCCGACTAGCGTCGATTAGCCCCGATTCGGAAGAGCCAACGAGATAGCATGTGAGGCTCCCATGAGTTACCCTCGAAGGTGGCCCCAGCACCGGCCTGCGCTCTTGAATCTGGCCCCCCCGCCGCCCCTTGGAGCCGCGCAGCAAAGGTCACTCTTGCTCCGGGTCACTCTTGCGTGTAGGCAAAGTTTTGGCCGCAGCCGCCCGTCGGGGGCCCCCGAAACGGTGTGGTGACCACACCGCGGGGTGAGTCAGTGGGGATCCCGGGTCACCGCACCGTTTTGGCGATTCGGGTCGTTCTCCGAGGACGGGCGAGCGGGGCCTCCGAGGTCCCAGAGCCGTGCGGTGACGGACCGCGCGGTGAGGTCTGCCTCTTGGGACTTCGAGGTCGCCACGCGGCTTGTCACCGCCCAGCTTTGGGACTCCCGAGCTTGGGGCATCGATCA